GTACCCTGGAATTCCAAGGTAACTGGGATGAACACTTACCTCTGGTAGAATTTTCCTATAATAATAGTTTCCACTTGAGCATCAAGATGGCACCTTATCACGCTTTGTATGGAGATAAGTGTCGAACGTCGTCATGTTGGCCGGAAGCTGAGGAAAAACAGTTTATGGGACCTGAAATAGTCCATCAGACTGCTGAAAAGTTGAAAGTGATTAGGGAAAGGATGTTAGCAGCTCAAGATCGACAAAAGAGCTATGCTGACAAGAAAAGACAACCGATATCATTCGAAGTTGGAGATTTGGTTTTACTTAAAGTCTAGCCGTGGAAGGGACTTATAAGATTTGGTAAGAGGGGAAAATTGAGTCCAAGGTTTATTGGACCGTTTAAAGTTCTTCAGAGGATTGGGAATTAAGCTTACAAGCTAGAATTACCAGAAGAACTAGGGGGTATTCATTATACGTTTCATGTGTGTTATTTGAGAAAGTTCACGGGAGATGTGCCCGACATAATTCCAATTTCTGAATTAAGGTTGGACGAAAACAATATGTTAATTGAAGAACCTGAGGCAATCGTTGACAGTAAGACTAAGAAGTTGCGACGCAAGATGGTCGAATTAGTGCTTGTGCGTTGGAAACATATGAATGGGCCAAATCTCACCTGGGAAACGAAGAGTAACATGATGAGTCGCTACCCGCATTTGTTTGCTGATGTGTGATTCCGGGGACGGAATCATCCTAAGGGGGAGAATTGTAACGCCCGTGTTTCTAGGCTAGGCATTAATATTGACATAATAGTCTAGGTTAACATTTGTAACTCATTTTGAAGAAATGAAAATGAATTATGTGAATTATGTGTTTTATGCTTAATTATTAGGATTTAATTAATTAAGAATAAAAATGAGCGTCGAAAATAAATACTAGATAAAGCCAATATCTATTAAAAAAGTTGTAGTGGTCGTGACAAGGATTCCGGATATATAAAGAATACCGAAATCCGAGTTATAACGAAGAAGTTATGACCTGTCGAAGTTCCGCGACAAAACCGGTACGGTGCCGAATGACGTAAAAACTGAGTTTTTGATAAACTAATTTTTAGCCTTGGTGATCTAAACGAAAGTCTTAGTGTTCGTTAAACCGAGAGTATGCATAAAAAGAACGCCCAAATCTGACTTCGTATGAGGAAGTTATGATTTTTCTAAGTTTCAGCTTAGTAGTAGACAGCTAAAAACTCGAATTTTAGATCGAGTGATTTTTAGCCGACACGACCTAGACGAGAATCGAAGGTCTCATCAATAGTAGTACAACGATAAAAAGACAGACGAAAACGGACGTCGGATGAAGAAGTTAGGAATTTTTAACGGATTTCCTGTCCCGGTCTGTTAAAAATAATAATATTAAAATTAAGGTCAAAATTAGCCGACGAAGTCTAAACGAAAGTTGTAGAGCGTAATTTTACCTACGCGTGCATATAAAGAACGTCAAAAACGGAGTATGTATGATAAAGTTATGGATTTTAGAAGTTTTGGCACAAAAATCAAGAAAAAACATGAAATCCGAGGAATTTCGCATGGACAGAGTTCGGCCACGTCACCTGGATTCTCGCATTCATGCCACGTGCTCGTTGCTGATTCGACCGAAGGGAGGCCCAACCGAAGCAGGACGCGTGCCCAGTGACTCCTCGCATCCGAAGCCGCCTCGCCTGCGTCCGACGCGTGCCCTCCTGACGTGTCCGAGCTTCGCAGGCGCGCCACCTTGCACCCCTCGGACCTAGACCTCAGTCCAATCAGAAGCCAACAGCTGGAGCCTCGCACGTGCGTGCGACCTGCCTCTCGCATCTGCTGACACTTGTTTGCTTCTCAGCCCTCGGATCAGAAGCCTCGCCCCTATAAATAGAAGGGTGCGAGACCTGCCGGGTATATTTTGGAAAAGTGTCATTTTTCACCCCTTAAACAATATTTCTTCCATTCCAACTTCCCCCAAAGCCCCGGTATTATACCAAACACCCAAAATACGTTCCGAAGTGCCCGAAGACCCGGAAAGATTTCTCAATAAAACTCCCGGTTTTATTAAAAACGATCGTTTTAGGAAACGAAGTGCTGCCCGATTATCATTAAATCATGTGAGTGTGTAGTCACTTTCACCTTACACATAGATATGAAGTATTTTCTTTAAAATACGTCCTATGTGTAATTATATTAATTGTTTATTTGAGGTGACTGTTGAATAGATGTTTTATACAAGTTTTAAACTGTATATGTATTTTATCTACAAATATGTTGGGTAAAACATGGGTAGACGAAATAGTCAATGTGGGTTAAAATGATGAGAGGCCTCGATGTTGTTGTTGTTGTTGTAGTCATCTAGCGGAGTATAGATGACGACCACGGACCTTTCTAGACAGTCCAGTGGAACACTAGCAGGTTTGCAACTTGTAGGTGTTGGTGAACTATATGTTCATTGGCGTACTCCATCCCCCTCATGGTTGCCTTAAGGACATGTATGGCTGAGGAATCCCCTTAGCAGTAGTGTCCATCCTGATGATAATCCTTAGGCTAGGTCCCTTGTGATAGGTGTTTAGGGACGTAAAGTGAGGATAACGGGAATGGGTAATCAGGGTTATTGTTGATTGATGAATCTAACAGATTTATTATTATTGTGGGTTGAAAACCCTATATGCTCACCAGGCTCCCAAGCCTGAACCACTCAACTTTTTATATTACAGGTAGTGGACCCCGAGCATAGTCGGATGATGATGAGTTATTTTTGGATTATAGGCTAGTAGTTGTAAATAACTGTTGAAAGGCTTATAATGTCTTGTTTATGCTTTTGATCTGTATCGGAACATGACATCCCGAGGTTTTGATATGAAATGAAAATATATGTTTCTTTAAACAAGGTTTTGATAAACTTTTATCATGTTTTGTTTTGGGGACCAATTCCGCAACATCTTTTAAAAGGATTTCTCTGACTTTGTTTTAAAAGCATAAATTAAATCGGTCTTTTCTGGCCGAGAAATTAGGGGATGTCACACTAGCCTCCATTTCGAAGGATGGTTCTCTCTTGGTAATGAAACTTATAACGTTCTCTCTTGGTAATGAAATCTATGACGGTTCTTAACCGGTTGGGAGAAGCGAAAGAGCTGGTGGAAGTGACGGTTCAGGATTTTCACGGGAATTTAGAAGAAAAATGATCATCACTTGTACACGTGGCAGTTTTTATAGTTATGGTTAAATAACCAATATTCCACGTGGCATTCTTTAATTGGGAAGCAGTTTGAATTCAAAGTTCACGCCAGTTATATAAGGAAAAAGTTCCTTAAAATTTCAAGTTTATGTTCTCTGAAAACTCTCAAGACCCTAACTGTTCATGGCCAATTTTCTCTCCAAAATTCTCTCCGATTAACTCAAATGGCTGCTACACAACACAATGTTGATCAAGTTACTACCAATGGTGATGAGATTGCACAACCAACGATGAATATTCTACACACACATCTTCGTCTCATTCCATCTCTTGATACGTATACGAATGAACTGCATATAATCGTTCAAACTCTGAGCAATTATGTACTTTCATTTACACTATCTGGATCATTTGTCATTCCGGTGCAATGGGTATCTATTGCTGCTTCAACGGCAGTGTACAACAACACGACCACAGTTGTTACTTTCTAGATATCGTCTTCCAAACGAAGAAGCTTACAAAGAAGCACTTAGCATAAATTTTGGAGCTATCTTCTTCAGTTAATTTCTTTGAAGTCTCAACTGATTAGGTTATCCACATGTTTAATAAGATGGGACATCAACCCACTCTTTTCACTATCAGTCATTTTAAGAAGTCGAGCCTGCCCTGTGTTCGGAGTTTCCTATTTGGAATTGTTTTAAGGTATTTGAAAGGGTAGTTCTAGACTTTATAAGGATAAGATTGCGGTTTATTCAATCATGGTTGGTCTGTATTATGGTGTTAATGTTGACTATGCTTCATTGTTGTTGGAGGAATTTGAAACTTCTATTTCTCATTCAAAACTAGCTATTGGGTGTCGGGTGCTAGGTTTTGGGGGTTGATTTTGAAGGAAATCTACAGTTAGGAAAATGTTCTTATTCCATCAGACGTTGATACTGATGACTTTCCTACGATGACAATTCCAAAGGTTGTAGTGGATGATGCTATAATATTTTCGGTGGTTGCTCGAATCCCTGATTCGATGCTCAATTTAGTGGATCCTAAAAAATCTATTATTGGTGCAGTATTTCGCTTCTATCAATTCTACTCCATCTGGTATTCTTCCACCAAAGATTTCTCAAAAAGGAGTAGAAGGACCATCAAAAGGGTCTAAGGATCATAAGACAAAGAAACCAGCAGAAAAGCCAAAAGAAATGGAGGAGGAATTGGTTAAAGAAACAATGCCCACGAAGACTGGTAAAGGGGTACTCAAACGAACTAACAAATCTGCTAAGAAACCTTCTGATTCTGAAACCATGAAACCTACTCAAGATCCAATTTTCGAAACTATAGAGCCAATAGTTGAGACAATTTTTATGGAGAATCTTGTTCCTAGTACAACTACAATTACACAAAAATGTGAACCAGCTACGAAAAATAGTGGTTCAAAAAGACTTAAGAAGCTACAGTTTAACAGAAGGGGAATTGTACTCCGTGAGGTTTCGACTCTAGGATCCCCAGCTTCAATGAAGCATCAAGCATTAGATGTTGCATAGATGATAAAGAATCAAAAGCACAATCAACCATAGGTTCAATTTGAGAAAGTAATAGTGGAGGATACCCATGTCAAATAGACTTTCGAGGAGACACGGGTTTCTGATGTCACTACAAACGTATCTAATACGGGTGCAAACATCGATTCTGGTGTACAAAAAACCATAACCATCCAGGAGAAGTCGAAAGTCAAACAATATGGTGTTTCGCATACCAAGTCTGTTATCGAGGAGGTCGAAACTTCGGACATCACTGTGTACTTATCTGATTAGGACACTAATGTCAACATGGATGAAAGGATGCATTCTGTTGAAACAACAACATCAACAACAACAATCGAAACATCAACTTCTTCAATTCCTATTACAACAGTTTCACCAACCTTTTTTGGGGTCATACAAGAACCAATCACAACTATTTTCTCATCTCATTCACCCAAGGCTGAGAAAACCATTCAAGAAGACGAGGCTGATGATGATAATGTGATGGTTTCTTTTGTTGAGCTACAATTCGGTCACGAGGAAGAAGATATACCTGATGACTTATTCATGTCAGTTAAGCAATTCAAAATTCTCAACTGCAAAATGATTTCAATACTTCAATTTTTGGCTGATACTGGAAATAAGCACTCAATCAGTGGGGTCGAAGTTGAATATCTTCTGAAAACTCAAGAGTCTCGATTGAAGACTTTAATTGAAAATGTTGACAAGCGCAGTGATGATCAAGTAGTCACTCAATCTTGTACTTTCAATCATGATATTTCCAAGTTGCGCGACGTAGAAAAAGAACATCATGAACTTTTTTAAAAACAACTTGCAGAAACGAAAGTTTTTCTAGAGAACCTACTGAAGGAAATTCGAACGTTGATGGCTATAGAGGTGCAGAAATTTGATGATAATTACTCTTCGTTACACAAGAAGGTGGATGTTGTAGCATATGCAACTACACGGTTGATCGAAGATATCACATCCTTCAACAAAGATTACTCGAATGATTTTCGAGTTAAGACAGAGAAGGATGAGAAAGTTTTTGTCAAGGTTGAAGAATTCTTGTCTGACATTAAAGTAATGTTATCGAAAGTTTATCTTTCGACTCAATCTTCACTTTCTCAAGAATCTATTAATAAGATGGTTTAAAATATCGAGTCGAGTATAAAGGTTGAGTTGGATCCGATCCGGAACTTGGTTCTTAGACTCCCAACTAATGCTCCTCGTACGATGCACGTTTCACAAGGGGGGAGATAGAGGAGTTAGTTAGTCTAAAGTTTCTGGTGAAGATACTGGAGTTGTTGTAGGGAAAAGTAATGTCTACTCAAATTCCAACAACCATCTTGATGAAGCCTATTATCTCATCTTCAACAACAACATCATCAACAGGAATTGTCACTCAGATGAGAGTTCAAACAAAGGGAGTCTTGATTAATGAAGGTGCAATAGGTTCAAGTTTATGTTGGATTAGTGTCTAAGTCCATAACTATTTTGGTATGTACTTGACCCGATGGTGCATGGTCCTTTTGGGTTGACTTCACCAAAGCAACTTGATAGGATGAATTATAGAGAGAAAGGATTAATTATGATTTATTAATATATTATGAGAATAATATATTAAAAGAGAAATCATATTGTTTAATTAATATTAGTCAATAATTAATTAAGAATTAATTTTGTGGCTAAAAGAGATTAATTAAACTTAGGGGACTGGAATTGTAATTGTAAGATAATTGCAATTGGGCTATGGATCACCTTGGAATATAGGTTGGACGAAATCTATGGGAAGCCCATATGATTTTCGTCCAAGGCATGTTCCAGAAGGGGTCCATGGGCTGCTTAGGGCTTAAGCAGTCAAATTAGGGTTTCCTTGTTAGATAACCCTAATTGCCTACCTATTTAAAGGCCCATTGAGACCCAACAACGGGCTAACCTTTTCAAGAGGGTTTCTGGACGTTTTTTAAGTTCTCCTCCTCTTCTCCTTCTTCATCCTCTTGCTCTTGGTGTTTGTGAGCCATTAGAGGAGTGACATTTGTGACTCTAAGCTTTTAGAAGCCAATTACTAGAAGGAATAGATTGTTATTACTACATAACAATCAAGGTATGATCTAAACCCTATTCTTATGTTAATATTGATTATCACATGCTAGATCTAGGGTTTATGGCTTTGGATGATTATTGCATGTTCATTAGACAAACTAGATCCAAAGCTTTAGGGTTTGCATGTACACCATAGGAATGTTGTAGTGCTCATAACCCATCAGTGGTATCAGAGACTAGGCTGTTTGTATGATGAATTGATGCTTAATTGTTCATTGCTTGCTTGAAAAATCGAATTTTTTTGGGTTCTAACTGGCAAACTCGCCGAGTCCATTCATGGACTCGACGAGTAGGACCTACTCGACGAGTCCAAGGGTCTGTCAACTTAATTTCACGATTTTCTTGCCTTTTTGGCTTGGGATAATTACCATAAACGTTTTTAATTAGTAAAATCCGATTTTTATTGATTTTGGGTGAATATCCTTACCAAAATAGTAGATAATTGCCAATTAATCAAATATTTGTTGCCTTATATGATAATGTATAATTATTTTAGTTATTTGGTGAATTGTCTTGCAAGTAATTGGACTAGGTCAAAATTCGATATCCAAATTAATTGTTAATTGTCTTATTTGAATTGTTGATCTAGAATGTTCTTGAAAAATTTTGAAAAGTTTCAATTTTCTCCCTTTAGGTTTCATAGTTTTAAATTTGAACTTCAAAAGTTTTAGTTTTGAAATTTAAATAGTTAAACCCTAATATTTTGAAAGGTTTCAATATTTGTCCTCAAGTTTTGGAATTAAAATTTTTTGATTAAAAAGTTAATTTGGAAATATTTAAATTCTAAACCCTAATGTTTTTTGAAATGTTTCAAAACTTGCCCTCAAGTTTTGGAATTTAAATTTTGATTAAAAGTTTGATTTTAAAATGTTAAATTCTAAAACCCTAGTTTTGAAAAAGTTCAAATTACACCCTTATGGTTTTATTAAGTTAATTAAAGGTATACTTAAAAGAAAGTTAATAAATCCATTTTGATATGGTTTATATTTAATTAAATTAAAAGTGTAATTTATAAAATTAAACCACCTAGTATTTTAAAAGTGTAAAATACACCCTATTTTATATATAAGATTAAAAGTCTAATATTATATATGTATAACTTAAAATGCAGTCTTACCGTTAGTAGGCCTCATTCACGAAGCTGGTCTATAAGGGGTGTTTAAGGAAATTGCCTATAAAATGGCAATTGAATGGGTATCCACTCTTACCCATCGCACTCTTGACTAGTGGAGGGTCGTTAGCCGAACGGGTAGGATAGGTCAAACCCCTCTCCTCATTAAAAGTATAATGAATAAAGTAACTAAATGTTTTTACTAAATTCTCAAATCTTAGTTACTTTAGGAAAAAGTGAAATCGATGCAATTCCATGGAGTTACACTTTGTACCCTTGTCGAGACAATTAGTGGAGCGTGTGTGGTTAACCAGCACACTAAGTTGGGTTTGGCATTGGTAGCGAAGGGTGACTCAATGTTTTGTCATAGATCGATGGAGCGTGTGTGGTTAGCCGGCACGTCGATTAGGTGACTGTAACATTGAGGGCACCACGTACATTCGCATGGTAATTCACACCTTATTTGTGATCCTCGGTATCCTAGTCACAAATGAAGGGCATAATCGAGATTAAACATGACATTGAAAAGTTCAATGAATCTCAACAGATCTAGGAGTTTCAATACATTTCAAACTTAAATTCTTTTTCGTTTTTCATGGTGGAAATTGGTAAATCGTCATTTACCTACCTTCAAATGGTGTGCGGGTTGGATTACAACATCGCTCTTCCAATTTGTAGGATATTGTGTTGGGTCCTAGCCTTAATATCTCATTTGGGTGTTTTATTAAGGACTCAATCAACTAAACTTGAATTTTCTCCCGTTTTATAGATGTCATAGTTTTGACAACTATGGTCTTCCTAAATCCATTGGAAAAAGGTTTTCCACATGAAGATGATGTTCCACGATTGGATTGTGGAAATAAAAATCATGCTTCTCTTCCTCCACCTCCTCCAATAATTCTCCCTGACCCACGTGTTCAAATACTTGAAATGTTCAACGTCACTCAAGCCCTATTGGCAAAAGACATGAAAATAGAAAGTCTATATGTGCTCATGTCTTGAATAAAAGGTAACATATTGATAGTTTGGGAATGTTAGGTGTCGATGTCTCAAGGAAGTTGGCTGTTGACATGGTTCTTCAGTCACTTCCCAAATCATATGTAAGTTCGTTAGAGAGTACTATATGATGGACCACGACATGACCCTTATTGATTTGACTTATTTGCTTATTTGCTGCTAAATCAGGAATGATTTGGTGCACTGGTCAGCAAATTTGTCTGGTAAGTCAATATCCCAACCCTCTATGGGCAATGGCAACATTGAAGTCCAGAAAAGTTTTCTCTACGCAAGAGTAAGGCTGAGTCTGAGATAGTCCCGTGTACCATTCCAAGAAGAATCCATATGTTTCTACTGCCAAAAGAGTGGGCATTTGTTACGAAGCTGCCCTGACTACCTGAGAGATCTAAGAGATGGGAGAGTCAAGATGTATGGCTCTGCATCAGGTAAAATCCACTATCTAATTCTATTAAGTACCTTTTTGATTCTTAACACATGATGTGATAAGATTACATTTGGTGTTTTGTAGAATCAAAGAAGAAAAAGGAAGCTTAAAAGGAAAGAAGTGAGCTAAATCTGGTCATGAAGAAATGGATCTTGATCCCGTGATTCAAAGATCAGATTGTTTGAGCTACTACTTTGGAGTTAGGATAGATTGCTAAGTAATATTTACATAGTTTTCATTTGTAATCACATTGTAAGGACAATATTTTTCCGCAATAAAATAAATTTTGATTTATCTTATTTATATTTCCTTGCGATGGATTTTATGAAAATTGGTGTTTGAATGGTTCCATTGTTAGCAATATTGTGAATGGAATTGATTCTTAGTTATGTTATTTGTGGTAATGTCAGAAATTTACCAAATGAGGAAAGTTTCTCATCACCCAAGTTTCAAATGGACAGAAACTTGGAATCATGCAACTGGTATTGTGTGATGAATGAGAACCTTCGTATTTGGGAAATTGAGACTAATTCCTTGTTCACATAAGTATGTGAGTCAAGTGAAGGACTAGGAGATCTGGTACACAATGTTGTGCACTGGTCAAATCCACCACAAAGAACGATAAGTTTATTCGTCATGATTTACTAAAAGTCTAGTAAACATGATTATGCTTACAAGATTAAGTGTAATTCTGAATTATTGAAAAGTTTCAATGAATAACAGAACGAATAAGAAGAATCAATGAAGGCAGAAAAGATAAAAGGCTCTCCAATCTAAGAAGAAGGGAGAATACTTTTGTATCGTGTTTTATGATCGTCTTGGTTATTGTAGGAACCATATTACAATTCATCCTCTAAGGATACCTTAGTGCACTAGTTTGGCTAAGAAGAGGAATGATGAATTGTAGAAATGGTTAATAAGATGTATCGTACTTCGTTCAAATATCAAGTCTTAGAGTTATACTCCAAGATTGTGAATTGAGTGAGATAATCTTAAGTAGAAATGTTCTTACACTTGCACATTTTGGTAAGTTGTGATGTCTTGAATAAGACAAAGACCAACTAGTAACCAAATTGTGAGTAGGTTTGTCTTGATAAAGACACACACTAACTCTTGAGTATTTGTTTTTCAAGAAATGTTTCTTGACAAGAGAATCTTATATGTCAA